TAATCGTTCACGGGAGCATGCAAATTGTCACTGACCTTCTGTAAGATTGCTGACTTCTCACTTGTCAACAGAGTCTGCCGAGTGGTAAAGTCGTGGAACACTGGTAGTTCAGTCCGAGTTTTGACTCCCGCAGACGGGCTGTCTTCGAGGGCGTTTTCGTAGTTTTCCCCATGTGTAATTTGTATACGAGCCAGTTTTTCTTAGAAAGTCTTCCACAAAGGCATCCTTCTCCTCAGGCAGATAGCCCTCGAGGCTTTGCCATGCTCACATACACCAAACCAAACCAAACTCTCTAATCAACTTGATGTTCAGTAACAACAGAATAAGGATAAAGGTTGAAGCCTTTTATCCAAGAGAAGCATTTACAAGAGTACACCTTGTGCTTAACATATAGACCACTGCTTGTGGTTTTATGTTATATAGAAGTGAAGGGGCCACCTAATATTTACCTGAAGTAAGTAGACATTAGCTCTACACACTGACTAGAAAAACAACAACCTTCCGGCATCTTCAAATTATGATGAATTTGCGACTCCAAACTGCAAATTCTGCCACCGCCCGGGCATTCAATTTGATCAAGAAAAATGCATTACATTACATGATATATATAGCGATACATAGTTGTACAGGTGCATGTATTATGGCATTATTTATTGTAATGGGTACAGCCATCATGTTTCAGGACATTACATATTGCTGTACATAAAGGCGTGATGTAGATGACGTTTTTTTTAGGGCGTGTTTGCAAACATGATCTGTTTACATCAGTGTTTACTATCAAAATTAAGTTAGCTATAAAATTGTTTACAAAGCTTACTTCATTCTGCATATTTATGCTTACTGCTTACATTTAAATATTGTTGTATAGATGTGCTCATACTTTAGCTACTCAGTATTGACGAATGAGTTGCTAAAGTATCAGTACAACCATACAACAATACTTAAATTGTTGTGTTGATATTTTAACAACTCAATCGACAAAATATTGAGTTGCTAAAGTATCAGCACAACTAATAAACTTAACATTCCAAGGTAATAAATTAAATAGATGAATTCAAGATTAGTCTAACAGGCTTTCTCAGACTATTAACTTGCTGGCACACTTAATGTAACGGCCGCAAATGGCTAACCCTTGAGAGCAGATGTCGACGTAACCAATTCTCGCATTCCCTTTCAATCACAAAAGCTTCTCTTTAAATACTCTTAACTCATTTGCATCCTAAACATGTTTACTTACTAACTTATTTACATTCGTGTGAGGAAGCGGAAAGTAGAATTGACAGTACATTCTGAAGTAATACATAACAGGATAGTATTTTCTCCCTCCTTCCAGCATGCATTCGTGGTGTAATGGTTAGCATACTCAGCGCGTATTCGAGAAATGCGCTCGTCAAGTTAGAGTCCTGACGAGCGCATTTCTCATTTTTCATGTCTCCAGCATACTACAAAAAAACAAAAGTGGTGGATGATGATTCTTCTCCACCAAGATTTGACGACTGGGTACCCTAATACCCATTCGTCTTTAAAAGGGTTAGTATATAAGGTATTTACTTCCTCCTTCCAGAATGCCTTCATGGTGTAACAGTTAGTACAATTGGCTCGTATTCGAGAGATCAGACTCGAGTCATGAAGAAGGCATTACTTATTTTTCATGTCTCCCGCACAAAAAAAAAAGTGGCTAATGACTCTACAGTAAGAACCAAAGATCCGTAAAGTATAAAATTCTATATTTACATCAAGTTGGCTCAGTCTAGACCAGTGATTCTCAACAGATTTTTTCTCAAGTGCCCTTTTCACCATTGCTAAACGATCATTCAGTCTCTCCTTCTCAAAACTTGAAAAGTGTATATGCATTTGTTTAATTATCGATTATTTTTAATGTAAATTAAACAAGTATAAAACATGTTGGTAAATACCAAAATTTAAATAAAAGTGCTTTTTCATATTCATAAACTAAATCTAAATACTTAATATGTAAAGAAAAGGTTGACTAAATTACTCTCTGAACCTGTGAAATTCCCCTTAGGGTTATTCCTCCTGATTAAGGACCCATAGTCTAGACAGAATTAATTTTTAATAGTGACTGAATGTACAGATATTAATTTGCCATACTTCTCTTAACTTTTGTTATATAAAACTTCGTATTATGTGCATGTTTTTTGAAAATAAAGGTTAAGACACAAATTTAAAAAAAAAAAAAAAAAAAAAAATATGTTTAAAACTTGATGTCGAATTCAAAAACGTTTATTTGGTAGCCAGACCTAATAAACCTAAGAAATCAAATTAAGTATACCTTACTTGTTCTTACTAACTTCTGCTTAATGAATTATTCTTAGGAAAGAATCTTAAAAATTGGGGAAACATTTCATGCTAGAAAACAAGATGTTAGAAACTTTTGAACTCATTCAATAAGGGAAAAAATTATTCAAATCGTAGCTCCATAACAAGCATTTTTTTTTTCTACTTGATCGTCAACACACGAGGTTTTAAGAAATATCCTCCTACAAGATATGTGGCCACTATTTCTGTGTTGTCAGATTATGAAATTCGTATAGGGAAAACAATGCATTTCGAGGTGAAGAAAATGATCTTAATTTGATAGTTTTTCTAAATATTAAATTTTTACATGTGATGTGTTTCTGTTTCTTAATCTAGGTGAAATAATATTCAACATGTAATAACAGCATACAACTCGCAAAAGAAGTGTTCCAGTGAAATTCAGTTTCTAAATGCTGTTTAAATTTGCTTTATTGAAAGTTTTTATACATAAATAATTACGGTAAATTAAAATGAACTGTTTTTTTTAAGCGTTTACAGTTAATCGAGTAATATAATATTTCTTATTGAAATAAAAATTATTTTTAATGTGCAAGATTACTTTTCTTACAATGCTGAGCTCATGGTTCTTAAATCCTCTTGTTGCTTGAGTTCAGAAACCTGTGTTATTAAAATTATTCGAATAGTTTTAACTTTTATACGGTTTTCATATTTTTCATTTTAACTTTCACATGGTTGCGTTATTTCAAACCATATGAAAGTTAAAATGAAAAATATTACTTGTACGTAAATTTTAATATATGTAATAATTTAATTTTTTAGAAATAGTTTCAGTAGTTTTTACTTTTAAACAATGGCTTTGCTTCAATATAACAGACATATTTAATTAGTTCATCAAAAAGTTGTTAGAAACACTATCGAATTAGGAACTGGCATATTTTTCCACTCTGCAGTTTTACTGCAAAAACAGTGAATTATCTCTTTAAAAATGGTTAAGAAATATTTAATACCTTTCGTTTTCCAGTTATTAAAATTTTTAAAATAATTGAAATTCTAATTAAATCCTTAGATAAAAAGTTATTCAAGAACTAGACTAAAGAAATGCAAGAAAGGGGTTAACTTCAGTGTCAAGCGAAATTTCAGATATTGTTATTTTCTAGTAACTAAAAAATTATTTAAAATCCTCTTTAATTTATTCCTGACCAACCTTTAATTGCTCTCCTGCACCCCTCCATTCTGAGGCCAATGGAGGTAAGAAAGGACTTCTTACCTCCATGGCTGAGGCCGTTCTTTGGCACCCCAGGTTCGATAGGGGATAAAGCAATTAAGCAAGGCTCTCCTCTCTTTAACTGCTTTTTCACACAGGTGGGGGCAAAAGAAAAGGAGCACAAAGCTTTCCCACCTGAATAGCTAGCAGCCAGTTAGAAAACTGCATGACAAAAGCCCACAAGACGAATGCCCACTTAAAAACAGCACACATTTTCAGGAAATCCAAAATAGCCATGACTTCCTGAAAAAATTTTTGAGTAATAATTATTATGATTGAAAATGAAATTTCAAGTGGGAATGAAATTAATTTATGTAAAATCCAAGTTGTCAAAATTTAACTTAGATTATTTGAAACCGTGCTTTTATTCACTATGAAAACAGTATTTGTGATAGTGCCCACAAAACGGTTTTCTTAATCATAATAGAATACAGTACTTTTATTTTTTTCGTTGAAATGAAAGTTCAGCTTTAATTCTCCATGTTAAATTCATTATATGCAAAATTTTCTGCAGTGTTACATTATTCATAAATTATTCTCCGTATATGATGAAAATTTACATACATTTTATACTCCTTATAATTTTGTAGAATTAAAAATAGTAATGTGGCCAGTATTCCCTTTCACCTCCCTTTGTTGGACTTATATGAGGACACTTCCATTTGCCGCGTAAATATAAAAACAAAAATACACATACATGCATATGTTTTTAATTATATTATTTTGATTGACTCTCTGTTCTATATACATATAGGATTTTAATTAAGCTGGAGCCAAAAATGAAATGTGTTCCACTACTTATATTTATTGTTCAATTATTTTTTATTAATTGAATTTATTTTTTATTTTATCTTTATTCATGAATCTGCTTTGTGAAGCTGAAGAAAAAGGGGAAAAAATATTAATTTTAAACATAGCATATATATCGGTGTAGGCTTTTATCAGCGTGCGCTTATATCAATGTGAGCTTTCATCTTTGTGGGCTTTTATCAATGTGCGCTTTTATCAGTGTGGGTATTAGTCGCGTGATTAATAATTAATTGATTCCAATTATCCCAGTGGGATCTTTTTTGTGGGCTTTTGTCGCGTGCGCTCTCGTCCAGTGGGCTTTTGTCTGGTCACCGTTTCATTCATAACAAAATATTGTCATATTTCTTTAAATATATCCTTGTTTATTATGTGTCCGCTGTCATCAATTAATCTGGACTGGCATTAAAAAAAATCATTTGTGTTAATATTAAAGTTTGTGTGTGTGCTTAGGCACTAATCATTAACTTTAATATTAAGTTGCATTTTCATACATATTCATTATTAAATGTGATATTTTGATGGGTATAATATGTTATTTTAGTTGTGCTCATTCTACATTAATTTGTGGATCTTCTCATTATTCATTATTGTTTGGTTTGTTTTGATATATTTATGTCAATCAGCATTTTTAATATTGTTTTCTCAGTTTGCCTTACACTTTGGGTACACTTCCCCATCTCAAATTTCTTGCTATAGAAGGAAATCCAATGAGAAGTATCAGGAGAGATATTATGCAGGTGAGTAAATAAATTAAAATTTAATGCATATAAAAGTGTTTTCTGATTTCATGATTTTAGAAAATAAAAATATAAATGCTGTGTATGTGTAAACTTTGAATTTTGTTTATTATATCCTTGAGTTAAGGAATCGTACCTTTAATACTAAATGAACCAAAATTTAAAAACTGCCCAAATTTAATGATTTTAGCAAAAGTATTTAATTTTATTACATTAAATGTGTATTTTCATAAAATATTTTGTTGTAGAGGGGTACTGTCCAACTCTTAAGATGGTTACGCAGTCGTATTGAAGATCCATCCGCCGTAGGGAATTTATCGCGCCTGTCCATGTCTGAAATTGATAGTAGAAATATTAACAGTCCTTGTGAAGTTGATAAATATTCTTTGAAATCTACTAAAGCTTTGTCATTGAGGTTTGCAGAAGTGTTCTTTATTGTTCATAAATCAAATTAATATTTTGCATTGTGCAGTAAAATTATTTAAATTTCAAATACTCTTTTACTAGCAATAAAAATGTGAATACCATTCCAAAGCAAGTGATAGAAACAGCTACAGAATCAGGTGTCACTGTTGTTGACATAAGTAAAAACAGCATGGCTGAAGTTCCTGACTAGTAAGTTAGTTAAGTTTTATATTTAATCAGTATGATGGTAAAGTTCTTGAAAAAATTATATTATTTTAAACTATGATTTGTTATCGGCATACTATTTTTGCAATTTTTATTATATTAATGTTTTCAATCTGAAATCATTTAAAATTTATTTTCTTGCTCTTCATCTTTCCTTGTTGTGTCACAGACTTGTTATTCATGAGGTGCTTAACATTTTTGTTATAAATTTCTTTATTGTAATCTGTACAGATCATTTTTCTAAATCTTTTTACAGACAATGCAAGTTAACCAAAGTTTTGCAGAATTATATGTATTAACACTTTTATTTCCTAAAATGATTTTTGCCATAAAGTCATTTTGCAAAAGTTATTTTCATCATAATTTTCAATTAGTCTAAAAATTAAGTATAGTCCACTAACAAAAACTGTATATTAAATGGAATATACTCACACACACACATATATATATACGATCTTGAAAGAAACTGTCAATATTAATGATTTTAAATTTTAAATTTGTATTTCTGCAGTTCATCCATTTGGATGCAAGCTGGCTGGCATCGTGACAGAATTCAGTCATTAATAAAAAATTTTGTTAATCTTAAGTTGATAATAAATTTATCAAGATGCTCGAACAGTAAAGATTTCAACAATTTTTAGTTATATAACAGCTATAAGATAAAATTATATGCAGGCAATATCAAAATCATTCTGAAAAATCATTAACTATATTGTGAATTAAAGCATTAGTAAAAAACCATCTCTTCATACTTATGCATTTATCTGTATATTGATGTTCTGAATTTATCTATATTTTGATATTCTGTATGACCAGTTTATTCAATATATAAATGTTAACTGATCAGTCTTCTTGTAAATAGGCATGTTGTGTATGTGGCATGTAATTATTTTTGTTATTTTCTCCTTTTCTGTTAGCTTTGAAATGATTATTCCTCAGTTAACTGAACTGAATATGGGTTATAACAAACTGAGTAGTATTCCATCATTCATTGGGCTTGGAACTTATTTGCACTATTTGGACCTTCGGTACTATTTTACTATATTTTAACTGTAAGATTATTATTTATTATTGATCTTTTAATCACACCTAATATAATTTACTCAAGTAGAATATTTGCAAGAAGTTATATATTGATTTATTTGGAAAATTTCTCCAAAAGGTACATTTTATGTCAAAATATAGAGACTGCAATTAAAAACATAGTATATTAAATTTCTTATGTTGACAGTTGTTCATGTTTCAAATTATTTGAAATTGACCCTATAAAACTATATTTAAATTATGAAGCATCATCTATAGTATAGTAATAGAAACTTATGTATTATTAGGAAAAGAGGAAGGAAAAAGAAAAATCGGTTCTAAGAAAATGAGAGTACCTTCAACCATAGCAATGAATGTGTGATGTTTTGCCATATTAAAAGCCAGATTCATTTTGAAATACATTTCAACCTATTTTCTGTGCATTTTTGTGATTAAAAAGAGTTGAATCTGAATGTGCTTACCAAAAATTCTCATCTCTCTTATAGATGTTAGTATAATATAAAACCGGAACTGTAATATATTTTTTAAATTAGATACGTGTAAGATATCATTTTCATTATTTTTATCACATTTGTGATGCAAAATTACATTTTTTTAAAACTATTTATATGTTTTAATAAATTATTTAAGGTTTAAAGCAATGATGGGCCAACTCTGGCCCGCTGGAAGGTTCTATCTGGCCCAAGGATACAATTTCAATTTGCCGGTCTGAGACAAATTAAAAGAAATGTATATATATATATATATTATATCGACTCCTTTACTACTTTATTTAAATATTATTTTTTCTTCTTTTTTTTCAAAGGACTGATGATCTTTTTATTTTCTCTATTTTTGTTCTACAAATCATAAATCGACAGAAATAGCAAGCACAGACAGCTTTCAATCGGTAAAGTGAATTTTTCATGAATTTCAGCAAGGGCTTTTAATTTTAAAAGTGCCTATAACAAATACACTCATGTCCATAAATTAAGGAAAATGCAAAATCAGGCAAAGGAAGAGTTAGAAGCAAACCAAATTTGACTTATTTGTAAAGCTTATTTATTAAACAAAAGGTAAAGAGCAAACAAAGATGCTATTGTTGATATTATTAAAAAATTGGCAATTTTTCTCCCTGAAGCAAATTACAAAAAAAACCTATTTACAAAAAACAATATTACAGGGTGTATGATTGTTAATACATTGTATGTCTCCCAGACAATGCAATACAGTCCGTACAACGCCTAGGCATGCTGAGTATCAAATATCGATCTGATCTTGGGGGATATACACCACTCAAAAAGCAATGCTCTCCGAAGTTCCAGTAGACATGTAGGAGGAGGTTGACGGGCTGCAACTCGTCGGCCAAGCATGTCCCACACATGCTGTACTGGATTCAAGTCCGGTGAGAATGCTGGCCAGTCCATACAGGTGATATCCTCCGATTGAAGGCATTCGCGTACGATGTTTGCACAGTGAGGATGGGCGTTGTCATCCATAAACACAAATTGTCCACCCATGGTGCACCGAAACAAATGTACATGTTGTTCCAGAAGGACGTCCCGATAGATTTGGCTTGTCATGGTTCCAATTTGAATATTCAGGTCAGTTATGGAAGCCAGAATAATTTCACCCCAAACGAGCACTCCTGCACCACCGTAATGGTGTCATTCAATGATGTTTTCCTGGTGGTAACGGGTACCTGGAGCTCTCCATATGAAAGTCCGGCGAGAATCAGACTGCAAGCTAAACCTGGACTCGTCGGAAAACATCACGCAAGCCCACTGTCGCGGTGTCCACAATGCATGCTCTCTACTCCCGGCTAACCGCAGGCGACAGTGAGTTTCAGTAAGTGGAACGCATCTGACAGGTATACGAGCATATAGACCAATTTCCCTAAGCGTCTGTACACGGTCTGCCTTGAAATTGTCGTACCAGTGGCTGAAGAGAGCTGACGAGACAGGTCTGAGGCTGTGCTCCGCCTGTTTCTTTTTCTTTTTTCTTCTCCGCCTGTTTTTTTCTTCTGCCAAATACCGGTCCTCATTCGGCATTGTAACTCTGGGGCGGCCTGTGCCATAACGTCTACTCACATTACCATCATCTTGGAATCGTTGCCAAAGCCTAGAGATGACACTCTGGGCAATTCCAAGTTCGTCTGATACTTCCAGTTGGTACACCCACATTCCAGACGGCCGATAATTCTACCCGTAAAAAAATCATCCAAATGCGTCCTTTGTGTCATAACTATTCAGTTATTGCATTGAAATGCTTATAAAGCGCCTGCGAACAATTTTACTTCTTTGCCTGTATTCCTTATATATCACTCTCTTACACTCTCGTCATTGTGACGTACCATCTGTGTCATCTGGTTTCTTCCTGAAATTTGCGTATGATTCTTGAAAATGTGCGTAGTGATTTTACAAATGATATATTTATTTTAGAGTTCGATTTCCGCGTGACTCCGAATTATCCTTAATTTATGGACATGAGTGTATATGTAATATTATGACCGATGGAGAACCAAATATGACAGGGGGGAAAATCTGGATTTCTTGGCCTCTTTAATAAGAACTATCCTGGGAACAAAGTTGTTTTTTTACATTGTGTCAAGATGCTCTGTGTAAATCTGCATTCAGTATGAAACCTGTGCTTGATGCAGTGGTGAAGCTTGTAAATAATTCAATCTTGTGGGCTTATTCACAGGCAGTTTCAAGATTTTCTTCAGTCTGTGCAATCTGAATACTCTGGTGTACTGTATTATACAAAAGAAAGGTACTTAGTGCAAGGTGTGTTCTTGAGCGACTCTGACAGCTGAAAGACAACATTGTGTCATTCTTTCATTTTGAAACAGTGTTCTGTGGAGTGCAAAATTGTAGAAGATGCAGAATTGCTTTTGGACTTTGCATTTTTCACAAATCTTCTTTGGCATTAGAGCAACTTAAATGTCAACATTCAAGGGGAAAATCAATTTATTGACGATATCTGGGCCCATCTCAAAGCTTTTAAACTAAAACTTAATCTACTTGGTGGGCAGCTAGCTAAGAACAACTTGTCGCATTTCCTGAGGTTAAATTCAATACCTTCAGTAAATGAAGAGAAGCTTGAGAATTATGAAGCTGGCTTGAAAAAAACTGCATTTTGGATTCGAACACAGATTTCAGTGCCATTAAAACAGAATCAGATATCTTTACGATGCCTTTCAACATAAATTGTGAAGTAGTGAGGTCATATTTGCAGCTTGAATTAGCTGAGTTGCAATCTAACAATCATCTCAAGCAGTTGTTTCTAAATATGCCAAAGTTAGAGTTTCACAAATCATTATCAAAAGTAAATTTCCCAAATTTAATACCTCACGCCCAGAAAATCAGTGCTTTGTTTGCTTCATCTTATATATGTGAACAAGTGTTTTCAACTATGAATCTTAGAAAGAATTATTTCATAAGTAGACTTACAAATGAGCTTTTAGCCTCGTTCCTTAGAATTAATACATCTCACTTCGAAGCTCAATATAAGGAACTTTTAAAAATGAAATCGCAGTTTCATTCATCTCATTAGCGTATTTGAATTATAATACTTGTCTATTGTTTTTAAAATTTTTGAAAAATTTATCATGGCCCGCAAAACTCTTTTTTTTTTTTTTTTTTTTTTAAATATTTAGCCCGTGACCAAAAATGTTTGTGCATCCCTTTATTAAGGTATGAGTTTGTAACATTTCAGATTATGTATTTATGCATAAAAACTAAAAATTTGCCTTTATTGGCATAATCAAAAAGGATTGTATGTCAAAGTTTAGCATAATTTTTTTAATAAAATACTAAGAACATATAAAACCGCAAAAGAATAGCTCTTTGGCTTTAGTAATTATCAATCTTTCATTTTATTTTATTTATATGTACTCTAAATCTGAAGTAAAATGTGCATCAAGAAAAGAGATCAAAAAAAAAAAAAAAAAAAAAAAAATATTAAATGAAAACCTACTCTAATGGCAAACTAATGTTACATATAATAGTAAAAATTTTATAAGCTTATTAATAAACTTAAAAAATGGCAAAATAATAGCTTGCCAGCAAATAATGATGAATAATGCAATCACTTATTAAATTCTATTATTATCTACACTAAATTAAATTGTAAGTAAAAAAAAGGGTCACGAAAATATGAGATTAACAAAATGAATAATAAATACAAAATCTGTTCTGAAGATTAGGAAAAATCATCCACTAAAACAGCATGTTGTTAAAAAGCAATGCAATTATAAAATAGCTTATAAGTGGAAAGTCTTATATCTTGAAAAAAATTTTTTATAATATATAAGGAAAATAAAGAATATTTAAAAGATAAATTATAATTTAAATTAGAAGCTTACATTAATTTCCCTTTTCTATTCTAAAAATAGTAATATCTTTCTGCACTGCCTCATTTCGAGACCAAACCATGTAATATGACTCTATATAATTCTGATGATGCAAATAGAACTAAAACTTAAACAGCCAATAATGATTTTACAACAGTATTAATTATCCAATCAAAATACATTGTGAACCAAAAATAACTCGGACTGAATAAAGATTTTATCCTGAACATAACGCACTTGCTTGCTACTCTTTGGCTTAGCCAGACTGCTGTCTGCTGCTTTCTTTCTTACTGCAAAGTTATCAAAAATATAAACATTTTTAAAATAGGCACAAATAATGTGCCAATTACTGAAAATAAAATGAAGATTTAATCTGCCTTGGCTTGCAGTTTTGCTATTCATTGTGGATTAGCAGTCTATGCAATCAAAATTCTTGCTCTTCATAACGGATTCAACCTTCTGTATTCTACACCATCAATATTGCAAAGCCCCTTTTTTTGTTACATATATAAAGTGCATAATGTAATATTGTGAATGTATTAAAATCTTCACTTGGAAATGTTTTCCGAATGCAGGTCACACGGTTTCTAAGCCAGATTATGAAGAAACATCTGCTGAAAATTGTAATGTTGCATATTTGGGGGGGGGTGTAATGTAGAAAATTGCCTAACAAATACTCTTAGAACATTCTTGCTTTAAAAGGAATGAGAATTTTTTTATAATCTGTAATTTTTTTTTTAAATAATGCAGTTGTAAAAGAATTCAAGCATTTTTTTAATGCAGATATACAGTTTGTAAAAGACTGCAAGCATTTTTTGAAAACTTGCCAAAAATCAGCAAATTGTGTTAATAAATCAAAATAAACTCCCCCCCCCCAAATGTTCCGATAATGTAAACAAGGTGAAGATATATGCCAAAAATACATGGAAGAAAATTTCAGCATTTTACAGAGCCTGTTCACACATTTTTTAGACGATGTATATTGTATTCACAAAACTAAATTATATAAATTCTTGTGTTTAATTCTATTTGACATCCCTTATTCGGAACTCTTCTACACCGCAATTTCCAGGAATAATGCTCTTGAAGTGGCGAAGGGTATTCTATCCCATTCCTCCCAAACAGATTTCCAGAGTCTGTAGGGTTTGGGACAGAGTTTGTAATGCAGTTTTTAAAAGTTCCAAAAGCACAAAATCTGGTGACACATCGCGGAGTTTAATAGGATATCAGTGAAGGGTATGGCCTTGATACCATTTTTGTTCCATTTCTTTAGGAAATTACAGTGGATTTGATGTGTGACTGCTACTTTGTCCTGATGGAGTCTCACAGCTTGATGGCACTGTGGGAAGGAGGTATTCATTCAGAAAATTGGTGATAAAATATGTTCTGATGTATTTGGAGTTAATCTTGACATTTTTGCACTCTCTTATTTTTATTATTTTGCCATTAAAGAAAAGCAGAGCAACAATCATGAATGTACTTAAATTCCCCCCCCTTTTTATGATAAAAATGATTCTTTTTTTTTTTTTTTTTTTTTTTTTTTTTTTGTTACTCGTTTAAATACACCCATGCTTCATCTATGGACAATTGTTTTCATTTCCTTTTGATAAGTGTTCTCTATAAATCTGCAACGTGTCTTGCATGAGCAATATGCTTTGGAAGAAGACGATGCACATTGCGTTTTTTTGCTTTCTTAGATTTAAAATCAATGCTTATCATTTGGTTTACAGTGGACACTGAGCATTTTAATGATTTGCAACTGTCCTTTGACTAGGGGGATTTCTTTTCATTAAACAACGTACCTTTGCAATAGTCGAAGATGTCCATTTTTTCCTTGGATACTTGTTGAAGTGTCCCACTTAAGGCTCCAATTTTCATTTTTTTCCTTCTTGTTGATGATATTACCTATTCGCTTAGATATCACAAAAACCATACTCTCACATCGTTTTTGGATAACGGAGTATTCATATTTCTCTTGGGAAAGAGCGTAAATGTAGCCTTTGAACCACTGCTTTGTTAAATTCGCCATTTTGAATAAAAACAAAACTTTCAAGCCACAGACGATAATTTTGACTTTTAAAAACATAGTACAATTGCAATTACTTCTTTTGCAGCAAATGATTTTTTATTACCACTTACCAAAATCATCTAAAAAATGTGCGAACAGCCTCCGTATAACGAAAAATATAAGTCAAATTTTGAAGAGATAGCTTCAGGGTGTGTATTTGCGTGTATTGCACTTGTCATAGCTCTGAGCCTGTCCATCTCTGTGCTGTAAAATGTATATGCACAGTCAAGTTTTCTAAGTTATTATTATTTGCGGCTGTTATATTAAAAACTAGCCCGTAAATTTCATTTTTTTTATTAATCTATATGTAATTTCTTCTGATTTCTTTTATGTTAAATAGCATTCACTGAAAGTTCTCCATTGTGCTTAGGTCTGTATCCAATACGTACATATCCAAAATTAAAGTCTAAAATATATGTTTTGCAGTTTCATTAAAACTTGTATTTAAAAATTGCATAATATATGCAATATTCATTAAGATCGCTCAGATGAAAAATATTTATATGCAGATGGTTAAAAACTGAATTGTATGCAAATTAAACAGTGTGCATCTCTCAGAAGAGCAAGATAGTCATTTTTTATTATATATGAACTGTTGTTTATGATTGTGTTTTGGATGTCAGATGCTATTTTTTCCCATTTTGTTTAATGAAGAATAATAAGTCACCTTGAAGTTGAATGGTCTCAAACTTAAGTTCTAAAGATTTAAATTTTCTATGTAGTATAGTGTCATAATTGTGGCAGCAATTTAAAGAGACTTTTCATATGCTAAGGAGGCATAACCAAAATTATCCAATAAGTAAGGGATTTTTTTATATTTTAATATCAAAGAAGAAAGGATATATATTGGCAAGCAACTAACTTCAGAGTTTTCTGCTTCAACAAATAGAAATATATCAAAGTAAACCAAACCATATATCACAGAGTGATTTTGGCCTGTTTGCTGGAGATCTGCAATTTTTCTTGTTCTCACTTATTCTTACCATACAATTTGCCTGAACTTTTTAAGGCATTATCATTGAAGATATTGAACTTCTGGCTTTTCTTCATTTTACCCATGATTAGAATTTGAGCTTGTGAAGTGCATTATCAGTTTATCTGGGATGAACCAAAATCATATTATCACCGGTCAGAATGAATCAAACAAGATTCCTGTAGAGGAAATAGTTTATTTATATGTTTCAGAATCATCTAATTTGCCTTTGCAATTATTTCAGAGAGACAATTTAAATGCTGTACACTATTAGGAGGAGGTCCTGCATCCGTATGCCAGGCTTCTTTGTAGAGTAATTGGTCTTAACTTCCTATTAACCAAATGTAGATGGGTGCAACATGCATTCCTTGTAATTATATTAAATAGAGTTCATTTCTCATCAACGAAAAACTAATGGATAATAAAACTTGTATGTATAGGGCTGCTCTTATTTGTGACTTCCTTAAAACTGAAGAGACATAAAGAATGGACTGACAAGCTAGATCTATAAACATAAATAATTTAAAGAATTCTTGAGATTACTTTCACCAAATAAATTATACAAATGCAGCTAAAATTCTTTTATTTAACCAGCAGCTGTCTAAAATTGGGGTTAATTAGACAATGTTTATAAATGATTTGATTAAAAGTATCCTTAAAGTTGTAAACCTCTATAAAAGTATTTTATTTTATATTCTTCTTGCATATACAAAAGTTTTTCCCATCTTCATTTTTGTACTTGTCATACTGTGTGTCCTGTTTATGCAAACAGTGTCTGTTTCTATTAATTTGTTTAACCCTTTTTTATTCATAGTTGTGTACATGCTTCCAGTTGTTAGTCATAATATTAACACCAATTTATGTATATTTATTTGTTTATAAAATTTTAGTATACCTCTTAAATTCATTTTAAATTAGACTAAGCATAGAGTTTATATTTTCCATCCAGAACAATAGCATGGCTGATTCTAATTTTCAAAATGATATCTGTAATAGTCATTCCCTTCCCCCACCCACCCAAAAAAAGAGATTGAAAATTTGTATTTATTTTTATGTTCATGTCATAAAAGTTTTTTTTTCTTTTTTTAACTTCTGTTATAATGCCGAATTTCAGAGATTTAATTATTAAATTATAAATTGCATTGGTATGCAAATGAATGTTTACTTACTTGTTTTTGTAGCTATATGGATATATGTAATTGAAATTACTGCAAAATCTTGTTTTATTTATTTGTAACTGGAGTATGCAAATTGTGCATTAAATTGTGTTCCTTTTTAATCTATTTATAGAGAATCAACTTAAATTTTCTTTTTTATATTTTTTACAATGATATGCCTATGATTAAAAAATGTTGTATGCTGATAAATTAAATACTTCGTTTTCCTTTTTCAGCTGTATAGAAGTTAATAACATATGACACTTATGAAGATTTTTTTCTTATCCTTTTAACATTAAACATGTTTCATTTTGCTCATATTTTTTACTAAGTAGCAGAATTGTATAAAAATGTAAGCAAATGATGTATGAGGGCTACTTCAATTATTATGTTTAATGAGGTACAATGCTACAGAACTTTGATAATTAAATTTTTGTTGATAATGTTTGAAATAAATATTTTTTCAGTTTGATTTTACTGAAGTTTGGTTATATGCAGTAATATGTATTTCAGATGTTTAGTTTTTTATTTTTATTTATTTATTTTATTAGTTTGTTAGTTCCCTCATGTGTTAGTGCTATCTATATAGCTAGTTTTATTTTCCTTCAAATTTGGGCCCTTGTTGCTCATAGTTTTTATGAAAAATATGCATCTTTATACTCTGCCATGTAAAACATTTTTATAGTTATATGGATATTTTAAAATTAATTGCATTTATAAATGTAGTTAGTTTTATTTCATTCTTTCAGGAATAATAGCTTGCAGAGTTTGCCAATGGAAATCTCTAATTTAGTTCTTTTAAGAGAAATTAATATTTGCTTCAACAGGTAATTTTTTTTCAGTTGTTATTCCTCTCCAGCAGGTTCTAGTTTTTAACACACAACAAAAAAGTTATTTTAAATTTTACTGTATTTTATACAAAATACTTTCCTTGAAGAAAGTGGACTAGGTAGAAAATAATAGTTTGTGTTTCTGAATTAAATTGAGTATTTTTATTTGAAATTGAAACCAAACAAATTTTTCAAATTTAGTTTGTATACATCAGTAAAATCCTTGTTTTGATTTTATTCAAATCGGCTTTCTGTACAATAAGAGTTTAATTAGTTCAATAATTATTTCATTTGAGCACCTAAAAGAGCTATATATTTTTATTTGTAAACAAAATGATGTTTTGGCAAAATAGAAAGCTGTTACTAGTGCACCTGATGTAACGTTTTCCTTTCAAATTATAATATGTGGCATACACATATATTCACTGCCAACTTTTGTTATATATAACTTTGTATTATTTTAAATAATGCAGAAAAGCTATACTTATAGTTATTAATTTAATAAAGCTTCAAAAACAATTTTTTAAAAAAAGGTTGATTTGTGATAGCTATTCTGACTTGTTTAAAATCTGTTTTTCATATATATTTTATTTATACTTTTTTCATCCGCACTGACTAGAATATTGCCTATCAGTATTAACAAAATGAGCCATTTAGAACCATTACACTCTGTTGCAGAAGTTTATAGACTCAACTATATTGTGTATGGAAGAATGGAAAGGAACTCAAACACCAAATAAAAATGTGTTTATTTACATCACATACGACTTACATTCCAATAAATATTCAACTAAAAATAAAAATTTGTATTTTAGAAAAAATAAAATCACAGAAGAATGTGCATCCCAAAAGTTTATAGAATATTAACATTTTAACAACTAATTATCAATTTCAAATTGCTTAATACTTCAAAGTCACCCCATTATTCCGTATGACATCAAATACATATTTTTCCGTCAATAGAACTAAGTTTTTTAATAACTGTGGTTCCATATTGTACTATGCACTCTCATAGGCTGCTTTTAAGGCATTCATGGAAGAAAACTGCCTTCCATTCTCATATACTGTTCGAGACATAATACCCTGCTCGATTGGGTTAAAATTGGAGCTCATTGTTGGCCAGTAAAGAATAGTGACATTTTTCATATCTAAGTAGTTGTTTGTAGCATTAGAGGTATGAATGTGAGCATTGGCATGCTGATACATCCAGTTCTGTCCTCCAGTGTATTCTACGAATGACGTAAGATGGTATCTTAGTGTTTTTAGGTGTTTGTGCCAACCATCTAGAAAGGTGAAACCCACTTGCCCATTGAAACCGAGAGCTGCCCATACCATAACAGGTCCACCTTCACTGTTACTACTGAAATCTCTTTTCGTAAGTCATGCCAGTAATATGAATAACTGTCAGGACCATTTAGATTGTACTTTTTTTTTTTTTTTTTCCCAACACTGAAAATTAGATAAATCCATTTGTCACCATATGCCATGTGGTTATGGACCCATTGTAATACCATTTCTGTGTGAAGCTTTTGAGAGCAGTAATGATTGAGCTATCCTTATGTGAATCATATAATCAGCTTCCTTGATTTGCCTATGAACAGCGTTTTTAGATATTTGAAATTCACAAGCCCTTGTAATTTTGTGAGCTGGTTTTTTCTGCTTCGAAGCCATTCTTTGTATTTGCCTATTGCTGTGACTATCCATTTCTCAGAGTCTTCTTGTATGTAGTTTTGGCTGATGTAGTATTTTATGAGATATTAAGTGATAAATCATGCTTATAGATCAATTCAGAAGTTTCAAAATTTCTTTCACAGATCTACCGTGCAATTTAAAGTTCAGAATCCTATTAGCTTCAACATCAGAAAGTTGCATAGATTTAGGGATACTTAAATGCAGTTCAAGTGATCTTTTTTCTTTTTTTAAATTTTAGGTTTGAATAAGCGCATTATCATATAGAAAAGCTCTTTTAAAATTTTAGGTGTGTATGAGGGCATTATCATATAGAAAAGCTCAAGTTCACCAGACGGGATTGTTGCTAACCGATTTGCATAAAATTAAAATTGTGTATAAACTTTTGGGACACATATTTTTTCTATATTTATTTCTTTTAAAAAGACAAGTTTGATATTTTTGTGAAATATTTACTCAAATGCATAGCACACGTCTTTTAAGTAAACATATTTTAATTGGATAATTTTATACATTTCTATTTTTTGAAACATGTAATTTACTTCAGTCTATAAACTTTTGGGACAGAATGTATATACTTCTTAAGTAATATCTTAATTCTGTCCTGTGTTAATATCATTTAGATATACCAAAGTAAAACATAAAATAAGGCAAATCAACAACCTTATATTTGACCTCTTATTTCATTGTCTAATTTCTAAATTAAAGCTAGAAATAAAAGAAATATATTCTTTGTCAGATGTACATGCTTTTATAGTATATCTGTAATTTTCAGCTTAGGTTGACTGCTAGTATAGTTGTGTGTATATGCACATGTACACTGTAATAACAGATGTGCTCTTGAGCTCCTAATTTTGTTAGTTTGCATACAAAATTGTGTAGGAAAGAGATGAAAATGCCATTGTACATCATTTCATAATGTGTTGGATTAAGCAATAAAAAGAGCCACCATGTGGCTCTTTTTATGCCACCATGTGGCTCTCAGGCCAGGTTTTGCCCACTTCTGCTCTAAACTGAGTTTGTATCTGTTTTTATTGACTTTAATAATTCACTAGTAATATTTGTAAAAATGCAATATAAAGTATATTTAAGATACTTTATAAGTTTTTTAGCATGGTGTTTTAATTGAAATCCTGTGTTAATATAATTATACAATAATATTATCAGTGATTTTGTTCAGTGATTTTGTTCCATTATTATATCTGCATTTATTGAGATTGCAATAATATGTTATTGCCACTCATTGAAGAAAGCAAGAAAAGAAATGATTTTGTACAAGATTAAAATTTTAAAATAAATCTGTTAAGTGCTCATAAATATATTTTTAAACTTATTAAAAGACTGGCTGAAAGGCTGCCAATATTTTGGTTTGATATTATATATTTTCTGGCCTCTTTTCTGTAATAAAAATTAAGCATAATATTTTTACAGATTTTGTTGTAGACTAGCCTAGCTTGATTTAGAAGGCATGTTAAATCACTCAAAAGTGTGCTTAAATTTTGCATTTTACTTATACACAAAAACAAATAATATTGTAAATGTGTATATTTGTATTATAATTGAAGGGCATTTAATACGTATTATGTTAAAAATGTTTTTCAGAACCTTTATCAGATTAGACATAATACTTGATTAGATTTTAAGCATAAATATAGATTGAAATTAAATAAAAAGTAAGCAATTATGTTGTTTTGTAATTTTTTCTAATTATTCTACCACAATTATTTATTAAATTCCTGAAGGTTAATAATTTAGGAACTTTATTATGTTTATTAATACTTTTGTTTCATTTTTCTATGAACTGAAGTAGTCTTCCCTTCCATGGCATAAATTGTTAAAATATATTATTTATGCTTGTAACTTAGCTGTGTTACAAAGTAATCACTAAACATATACTGCAAGAATTGAAACATAATTTTGAATGTAAGTGAGAATAAATGTAGTTTACCTAAGATTAATGAAAATGAAAGCTTATATATTGGCATTTTTAAACTCATTAATTTGTGTGTTTAGCAATGTTTAGTCACGAAATTATTCAGTAGCAACTGAATGCCATATATGTTTAGGGGAAAAAAAATATAAATATTTTATTTGTATTTTTAACATTTAAAAATGGGTATTTTTATATTCTGTAGATTCCAGTCTCTACCTACTAGTTTGTATCATTTGCAAAAATTAGAAATCATATTAGCATCTGATAACCAAATAAATGCCATTGATGTTTCTGGACTATCCAAACTCCCTGTACTTGCTGTGCTTGATCTTCATAATAACAGTATACAATCTGTTCCTCCAGAATTAGGAAATGTGACACAATTAAGGTTTGTGTTCACTTTTTATCATCTTTTGATTTATTTATTTATAATCAATCTCTCTGAGCTATCAAATTAGTTATCAGTAATTTTTCTGAATTTTTAGATGATGACAGTTTACTCCCATGCCTCTTTGTGTTTCCTGTGTTGCTTTATCACATCATATTAATCATGCATTGTAGTCCTGAATTATTGCAGGAAAGTCTAAAGAAGTTATTCTTTACTTTTTTCCTTTTGTGTGGGTATTAGGTAGGCAGATATATACAGACATGCAGTTTTACAATTGCATTTTTGTATTCTTCTGCCTAAAAACATTGAAAATGTTAAATATTTTCAAAAGATTAAAATCTTGCTTCACTTGATTCTGTCTTCAGCATAAAATTTGTAATATCATAATTTGTTTGCTGGAAATCAGATTAGGGTGTTATTGTTATGTTAAACAAATTATGATACTTCCCACTTATCAAAATTACTCAATTGACCAGAAAAATAAATTTTTTATAAGAAATCTAACTGACTTATTATAACCAATGCAACTCATGTGAAATATTTAGAACATTGTTCCATAAAGTGTTCATTCAGTACTAAAGCAAAATTTATTGAATTCACTAGTAATATTTGTAAAAATGAAATATAAAGTATATTTAAGATACTTTATAAGTTGTTTAGTATGGTGTTTTAATTGAAACCCTGTGTTAATATAATTATACAATAATATTATTTTTAGGTCTCTGCTTCTTGATGGAAATTTATTCCGCAATCCACGGCCGGCAATATTGGCCAAAGGAACTCCAGCTCTGTTAGAATTTTTGCAAAGTCGCATACCTCAAAACTGAAGCACTTTTACTCAAATTACAGAATATTGTTCATAGCAATTAGTACTTCTTCAAAGGAAAATTATTTTTTTTTTAGTATTCTTTGTCTGCCTTATTTTGATGTATGTTATTTATTTAAGTAATTATAGGTTAGATCCTTAATTTTTGATAACATTATGTTTTTAAATATTTGTTTTCGTGTTATTTTTGTTTAACATTTGAATCTGCCGTCATTATAAATGCTTTCTGTAGTTATTCTTAATACAGTTTCAAAATAGACACACATACATGTATAGTGCTTCTAAGTACTCATATAAACATTTGATCTGCTATTACTAAAAGTGTGTATACAGGAAAAACAATGTATATAATCTTAATTATTCTTAACATAATTAAATGTATTGTAATGCCTTTATTTTACCGTGTTATAAAAAATATTAAATATTTTTAAATTATGTATATTAAGGGTAATGAGACAAATGATCTTGATTTTGAGGAGAGCATGTAAAAGGCTGCAAATTACCTTAAAAGACTACAGGCACCCTACATGTATAAAATATAGGTAATACCCATGTATTTTTGGCCAAAATTCGAAGAACATTATTTTAATTTAATTTTGTAAATTATACCTATTTATCACCTAGTAAAAAAAATTTTTAAATATTGATATAAATTATATATATATATATGTATATAATGAAATAAAAATATTAATATTTATAAAAGTATTTTTAAAATTTATGTTGAAAGTGATTGTATGTATATATTTAATTATCTGAGAACTGTAAGATCTTAGTGGTTTGAATCTTAGTTTTAAGGTATAATTCAAAAAATGGGATAGGTATGTTTATGAAGTAATAAATAGTATATATATAATATACATTGAAGAGCTATTACATTATGACCACCCTGTTAATAACATGTAGGACTGACTACCTTTAGCCCTCAAAATTGCCAGCATCAGGTACAGCATTGACTCCACAAGATGCTGATAAGTAGTCTGAGCTATCTGGTACCAAGTGCTCACCAACTGGTCCTGAAATTCACGCACATTGCGAGGGGGTAGCTTGGCAGCACAAATTTGGTTTTCCAGGTGGGACTACAAATGCTCTGTTGGATTAATGGCAGGTGAATTTGGAGGCCAAGACATGACTTGAAAGTCACTGGAATGTTCCTCGAACCACACTCTGACGATTCGACCCTTATTCACATGTGCTTTATCCTGTTGGTAAACACCATCACCCACAAGGATACTGTTGTCATGAATGGGTGAACCTTATCTGCAATAATATTCATGTAGTGCACAGACATCAGGGATTGTGGGGATTATGGGTCCTGGTGTGCACCATGAAAACATTGCCCAAACCATAATACCCCCACCACTGGCTTGTCTCTGTCCAACTGTGCATCCAGGAGCCACTGTTTTGTTTGGAAATCAGCATGTTAGCACACGCCCGTTGATGTAATGGACCAGAAAATGTGATTTGTCAAACCATGCAACTTTCTTCCATTCTTCTAATGTCCAATCTCGATGTTTCTTGGCACACTGCAGACGCAGTTGGCAATGATGTGCAGGCTTTGGCCTCCGGCTGTGTAGGCCTATATACAGCAATGTACACAGCACAATGTGTTGAAAAATGCTCTCTGGGTTGCCACTATTGTAGCTGGTGGTGGTGGTTTCGGCTGTTGTAGGACTTCAGTCACGGCGAACAATGCGTAGCAATCTCGTGCTCTCCTCTGGAATCAGCGCGCCATTGACGACACACTGCTGGCTGTGGCTTGTCAATACACCACTTTTGATATGTGCTGACAAGAACTGCATGTGAACTGCCCACTAAATGTACCGTTTCTCATACTAACATTCCCAGTCACTGAGCCATAAAGATTTGATCTTTATCAAAGTCTGATAAATCATCTGCTTTTCCCATTATGTCACTAATCATGCTATGTTTGTAAAGACAATGCATAGCCACTCTATGTACTCCAACATCTGCCACACACGCATAGTGGTTTTGTTCCTGAGTGAGCCCATTGTTATAGATGGACAATGGTAAAAAAGTAATGGCCTTTTTGTGTGTGTATATATATCTATCTATCTTCGAGCTAAAAAGCAGTGTAAAGAGGGAAGCAAAATAAGTGTGCTATAGAAATAAAAAAAAGAATATTCACGTGCAGGGGTTAAAATAACTTTATCTCTACCTTTTTTTTCCTCCATTTCTTTCATAATTTCTTTCTTATCTTACAATTTTGTTTCAAAAGTTACACAAGTACATATATATCAGATACATACAGTAAATAAGTACATATAAGCCAATTTCATTATAAATGGAAATTTAATTAAGGAATTTGCAAAATTTTTAGTAATTTTTTTATGTAATAAATCAACAAATGCCTACATTTTTTTAATTTGGCTGGTTTGAAAATTTTTATCCTTCATCCAATTCAACTCAAAATTTCTTTAAAATTAAAATGTTTTCTTTTAATCAAAGTATTTCCTTCCCTTTAGTATAGTTTTCCTTTTAGTATACTTTTAACCAAAGTCTGTAGTATTAATTTTTAGGGATTTAAAATAAATATGTCAGTCAACTAGTAGAGACTAGATTTTTTGGATTATGAATTATAAAAAGTCAGTTGTGGTCTCACCAGGATTCAAACCGTGAATTTTCGTTTGATATTTTTAATAAGCATAAATAAAAAAATAAATACATAAATAAAATAATATTTGTTTTAACATAATATTTTGTTATAATATAAATAAAATAATAATATTTGTTAATTTAATATTTAAATTAACAATCAATGAATTGAACACTAACACAACAGGAGCATATGTAACTTAATTGACTAATTGACCAAATTCAAATAATGATGAGTTATTGCCCCACCGCATTTTACCTGGGGACAGCAGACATTTTAGTTCAGGCAGTGCTGTGATTAGCATGCATGGAAGAATGTGATAATTCTTTACACTACTTTTTTGAGGTCATAATACAATAAAAATATCAGCATTTTATTACTCATTAAATTGTAGATTTAAGTAAGCTTTTTATCTGTTTTATCTTTCTTGCTTCTTTATTTTAAAGTAAAAATTTTCTTGGATATTGAAAATTAAAAATTATCATTTATTATTATAACCTGAATTTGTTAAAAGTTGTTAAATGGAAAATTAAACTGTAATAGTTTTTGATTTTATCTTGTTCATTTATATTATGATATCCAATGTAAATGTACATTATTTGTTTTACATTATTTTTGTAAATTTTTTTATTTGTTGTGAAGTAAAAATTCTAAAGCTATTTATGAGATTTTGGAACTTTGTTTTTCATATTTTGTGTAGATTTTGTAATTTTTGTTGTTCATTTACTAAAATCATCATAAATTCATCTAATATTTAGCAAAATCCGTTTCGTCATTTCAGAATATTAACGAACTTTAGATTTTGCAAATTTTATAAAAGTATTAAAATTATGATGCAGAAAGAAATATAGATTGTCTGCTGTGGAAACCTTTATTTTTGTTTTAAATTAGTATTAAAAAGCTTTTTTTAATTCTTTAATACTTGAATGTATAACATGTATATAAAAAGCAATTGAAAACGGCTGTAGTCATTTTGGAAAAAGTAAAAAAAAAAAATAGCAAAAGATTAGTGGAACTTCGATATTGTTGTAATAATCGGTTCCCTGACAAAAGCCAAAATAAAAAATAAAAACGATATATTGCCCAAATATTCTCAGTGTTGAAACCGCACATTGATAAAAGCCCTTACTGGTATAAGCTCACATTAATATAAGCCTAAACTGATAAAAGCCCACATAATCAAAAGGATACAAGGTTTTTTATCTCAATAAATATATTTATAGTTATATTATAAAATATGGAGTATTCATATCTGAATTTTAATGTCTAAAAAATACGACTGTGAAGGGGTCGTTTTAGATAGAGTCATAGAAGAGTCCTGTATAGTGTAACAAGTATTTATTAACAGGTTTAAGTTACACACTGACATTACATTTAACTTTAAGAAAATTACAGAGCAAGAGTCTGATACAACCTATCAAGTGGGATGCTTGGCTTTACTGAAGTACTTCTCTGGCTACTCACCAGAGGGCAGCCTTGTTGTCACAGTTAGTCCAACAGTTTATGTTAAGGGATTGGTTACAAAACGTTGGGCGCTACTTTGTGAAGGGGTCATTTTAGATAGGGTCATAGAAAAGTCCTGTATAGTGTAACAAGTATTTATTAACAGGTTTAAGTTACACATGGACATTACATTTAACTTTAAGAAAATTACAGAGCAAGAGTCTGATTCAACCTATCAAGTGGGATGCTTGGCTTTTTCTGAAGTACTTTTCTGGCTACTCACCAGAGGGCAGCCTTTGTTGTCACAGTTAGTCCAACAGTTTATGTTAAAGGATTGGTTACACGACTGTATTTTATCACTACTTTATTTTATTAGGTAGCAAACAAACTTTCTGCTTTCTGATTAAATCATTATCTATAATGTTTCGATGATAAATCTGAAAATTAAGTTTGCTACAGTACAAAGTCCGAAATGTGATTCCGGGAGTCCGAATGGGAGTTTTCCAGGTATTAGATCATCAATTTAAATCTAGCAAGATGGCATGTAGAAATTATAAAATTAAAAATTTTAATTGTGATTTACTAAATAATGAAGTATTTAAGATCTAAAGGGTATCAAAATATAATACAAAAAAATGCTTAATATTTATTTGTTTATCTTATTAAACATTTCTTTCAACGTAAGTTGTGCAAGTTTCTTCGTTTTTACTATAGGTACCGGTATTTTTTGGATCTAGAACCATACTATAGATTTTGGTATTCATGAATTGATTGATGATTGAGAAGCATTGTCATCACAATCAAAAATTTCTTTTATATTCATCTTCTTTTATTACCGCTTCTCCACATTTCTTTACAAAATCCATTAATTGGAAAATTTCACCATTGTTTTGCGATATCCGAAAACCTTTATAGCAGCTATTATCATCAAATTTAGCTATTCTTCACTATACATATTTGGCTATGCATCATGAGCTTGGCGACTAACGATAAGTTGTTCCGTTAAATTTATTTTGCTTCTATCGCGTATTGAGACAATTAAGCCTGATTGTTATTTATAAATTTAGTTATTTATTATAGTTATGTCTGTTTCTTGCATATGCTTAAGGCTTATCAGAGTTCTAAATAAATAAATTCCCACCATATACTTAGCCTTATTGAGGGCCGTCACTAGATATCTTGCCGCCTGATACAGTCTCTGTGGGTCCTAAATTTTGCGACTCGATGCGACCGTAAGAGCTCTGGTGCTGGTTCTGGGTTTATGTGAATAACAAATGAGTTATTCTGAATTCAAATAGCCCTAAATGTAATCTTTAGGTCTATGAGTATCATCAACAAAATCTGGTTTTACCACATGGAAACAAATTTTTGGTAAATTCTTCCACGTCAACATTTTTTAGCACATTTAACTTAAATCTGTAATCATCGCTAAGCGTAATATCAACATAAAAAGGTTACCACAGTCCTTTATTATTCAGTTATTATTATAAAAAAATTGTTTAGGCATCGCTAAATGAGTCATTACTCAATTTGTTATGTTTTGATAAACATGTTAGGATGAAAGAAGAGTACAGTCAAAAGTCGTTAATCCGGACTCATCGGGACTTCGGCGATTCCGGATTATCGATTTTTCCGGATTATAGATCATCAGCTTAAATCTGGTAAGATGGCATGCAGAAATTATAAAATGAAAAATATGAAACCGTAATTTATGAAATAAAGAAAAGTTATGATCTAAAGGGTATCAAAATTTACAAAAAAAAAAAAAAAAAAAAAAAAAAAAAAAAGCTTAATTTTTTGTTTACTTTATTAAAACATTTCTTTCAATGTAAGTTATTTAAGTTGCTTCGTTTTTTATGTGATAATACGTTCTCTTTAATTCTATAAACAGACATAATTTCTTGTTCAGTTACAAAGTTCTGCTGTTCCAAGTCCTATAATTGCTGTGTCTACCGACTAATTTATCAATCGAAATTTTTTCGTTTTCAGTAACCTCTGTCACTTTCTTCGCTATCGGAAGCGAATTATAATGACGAGGAATTTGATTTAAATCATATCAAAGACGGAGTACATCGAGATGAAATACTACATATATAAGGAATTATACCCAAAATAAAATAAAAACATCTGCCCTGAAGATAAGGATAGTGCTGACAGATCAACTTCCAGTTCATTGCGCGCCGCGGCGTTAAAGACTAAACAAGTTTAGATAAACAAACGTTAAAGTTTAGATACAACAAAGGATATCCTTTATCCATTTCTTGCAGCAATCACTTTTTGTTTAATGAACTTCGAAACATACTTTCGCATTGTAGATCCTTTACATATTACTAAATATATATCAGAAATTCTATTTGACATAATCGAAAGTTCAAGCTTACTTTTATAAAATTGCTCTAACACTCTGCAAAAAATAATAAGCCGGATCCAATTCGAAGATTAAGGAACAACGCAATCTGCAACATTAACTTAAATAGATAATTTTAGCTTAGCTTATACTGTCCGTTATAACTTCTTCATCAACATATTCTTATCTGGACATGGTCCTTTCCCCACGTATACTTTGCCACGAAATTTGAGCGAATAAGACAAGTGTGTATGTGGGGAAAGGGAGACCAGAGCAACTATATTTTCAAGTGCCCCTCACAAAAGAGCTCACAAAGGAAGGTCACAATACGCTGAGTACATTAAATGCATGCTAACGATACCTCATTTACAACAAAGGTTTCCTTGATTATGAAGAAACTTTTTGCATATAAAGAGAAGACATATGTCAAGATGCTACCGCATCTGTAAAATACCTCTTATTCTACAACTTGCAAAAATGCAAGATTTCAGAATATTGCAAGTGTCTGAAACAGCTAAATATTGTTATAAATTTTTATAAAATAGTACATTAAGAATTTGACTGTATTAGTGTAATAATTTAAATCATTAATTCAAAAATAATGTAAATAATATACGACTCTATTAGATATATTAGTGTAAAGTAAGTATTATGTGATTTTCTAATGTATATTTTCTGTATTTTGATATACATTAACTTAAAAAAATAATGTAAGACTAGTGCTGATGCATTTGTGTGTAACAAGTTAAAAAAAATGAAAGGAATGTATTATAAGAGAATCAACTAAGTATGGATAAAAGCACAAAAAAAATCTTCAATTAGCTCCTAAAATGATGTTATTCTAATTCGTGTCTAGATATACTAATGTAAATATATTGTTTGTATGAAACAATGTACAATGAAAGTTTGTATGTATGTTCGAAGTAATTATGTTATTTCAATCTGCCATAATCCAACTTTTGTTGATAGTTAATTTCTTTGCAATAATTGTATACTATGTCTTTGTAATTGTAATTCAATACGTAAGTCTAATTTAATGTAAAATTACTATGTAAATGTCTTGGTAGGCTAGCATCCGATCGGGCCAACTAAAGCCCAGCGGGTACAGTAGTGCGGCGGAGCAACACCTGTAAAAGTCACTGACGAAGTTCTGGTGCTCCGTCCACTTTTCCCTGTCCCTGTCCCTGTCCGTTATACATTAAACGCGCACTCGTAAACGTATTTTGCGCACCCGCACAAGCATATTCGCAGCCATAAAGGTCTTACGCGCATGCGTCAAAGCGACGCATGCGCAGAAAGTTTGTAGCTTTGAGGTCCGAATTAACGACTTTTGACTGTATAATAAATAATGATTCCCCAGGTTGGTGTCAGATCAACGATGTGTGTATGTGGAATGTTTTAGTTTGAGATGTATGCCAAGCAGATATGTAGCAACGGAGCCAAATTACTGATCGTACAAATGTATGCTTAAAGATTTGTACTTACGTATACGCCACTGCCTGCAGATTTGGCGTTTTTTAAGTGCTGCAATCTCACCTAACATTTTTGCGACTAATCTATTTAAACACTTATTTAAATCAAAGTAGTCAATGGATTTCGGTGGAAAATGGGCCGATATAGAGTTTAACATAGATTCAAAACAGTCTCTATTTTCTTTGACATGATGCTGTCACTATATGAACTTTGCTAAATAAGATTCTAAATGATGTCTCGCTCTCTCCCTACGTCTCTTGTTCCTCCATTTAGCACTGCCCCACGTTTTCTCAACTGTTTGTGTATGAACTCCTGTTATCAAGATCAATAAAATTGTATTTATGATTAACTTTAGCATGTAGAAATCCTTCTTTTTCTATTCCATTTGTTTGTTAACCTTTCCAACTGTCAGAA